CACAAATATGCAAAGATGTATTTGGTCACTTTTTAATAGCCTAGATATTTATCTCTGGAAAATGTAATATACTTTCTACATATGACAAGTTAATTTACATTAAGTAATAATCAGCTGCTTTAATTTTCAAATACAAATTTAACAAAAATAAAAAAATAAAAAAAACTCAATTTATAAAAAAGGTAAGTTTACTTGTTTGTAGTAAAAGTGTTTTACTAATCAAAATAAACTTTATGTATTTTAACAGCCCAACTGAAGGATTTGCCCTAAAAGCAAAGTTTATCCTTTTTTGTAATGGATGGAGAGATTCTGATGGATTGCTTAGCTACGAATTTTACTATGATAACGGTCAGTCACAACAAATTAAACTTAATGGTGTAACTTCAATTGATTATCCCATCTTAAATGCAGGTACTGCTGACCAACCAAGTTTAATAAACTTCATAATGGGCCCAGGTGATGAGAGCAGCGATTACAAAACCAGAATTATTATAAAAGTGATTGGCAAATACAAAGCATACACAGAATATTATCTATATATTAAGGTTGGCATTTCTAACCTTTTTTAAAGTTGACTATACAAAACTTATAGGACATAATAACAAGACATAAAACAGATTAAAATGAGATACAGCATAACAGTGAGACACTTTAAAAAGGGTAGAAGCAACACAACATCATTAAATTTTTTAAACAACTAAATTGAATTATTTAAAGTAAAACAATTTAGATTAAAATAAAATAATATGATTATTTTAAAAAATGTAGAAAAATAGGGTAATAACAAAACATAAAACAGGCAATAATGAGACACAGTGTAACAGTGAGACACTTAAAACAGGGTAATAGCAACACAAATAGTTTGATATTTAAACAAAATAATTAAAAATTTTAATCAACCAATTTGATTTGTATAAACTATAACAATTTAGTGTAAATTAAAATAATAAAATAGTAATAATAAAATAAAGAATAAGGATAACAAATATGAGTAAGAAAAGAATACTAATATTAAGATTAATGCAATTATAAAACATTTTATTTGTCAAAAAAAAAGTTGAAATCAGAAAAAATTCATTTTGCATAAACTAAAAGACAAGAACACTGCTTTTTTTAATTTACTTACTATTTTTTTATTAAAAGTTTTTTTAAACCAATTTTTAAATATTTTATGTTTCTTTACATATATAAATAGGTGTACCCAAATAATGAACCGACAAATTTAAAAAGCTTTCTAACTGACATCAGTCTAAATGATACACAAAGTATTGCTAATCTTGTTCAAGCAGTTAGCTATAATATGAAAAATAATTCAGCAAATCAATATAATATCTCTTCGTCATCTGTTAATGAACTTTATGATATGAAAAAAGAGCAGGAGCTTTATGATATGAAAAAAGAGCAGGAGCTGTCTAGTTTACAAGAAGTAAGAGTTTATATATACTGTTTTTATTGAATGTTTTATATAAAATATATTTGTAATACTTGCAGTTTAACATAATACCACTTCACTTTATAATTTTTTTTTAAACATTGATAACAAATACAAATTTAATGTGTTGTATTTGGTATTATTTGTAATTTAAAGAATAAAAATATTGATATATTGATATAAATTTAATTAATTTTTATAAATTTAAATCAGTTTTTTAATATTTCTATACATAAAATTGTTTCTATGATTGCGGTGTAATTTCCTTGTCCTTCCTTAGAAATTTAAAAAATATCTAAATTTTTGCAAATTTTACTTTCTTTACATAAAATAAAAAGTAAAATAAAAATTTATGTCCGAGATTTGTGGAAAAATAAGAAAAACAAAAAGACAAAGAAAAATTTTTTTTTTTTAAAAAAAAAGGAAGTCTTTTAAATTTTCAACTGTAGAAGAATTTGTTATTCTATTTACTTACAAGAGTAAACTACCTGTTTCCCTTGAAAAGCTTGTCAAAGCAAAGATTCTATATTAACACCAAATTGTCCAGAAACAGAATAGAACTGCTGCATTATATCTAGGTTGAGAGTTCCCTGGCAACTTGGAGGATACAGAACTTATTGCATGCCATACATTTTACAGTTTTAATATTATTTGTTAAATATTGATGTAAGCAAATTGTACAATTATCTAATTAGTATTTATTTAAGTAAAGAGTTTGAGGCTCTCATAATAAAATATAAGAGCTGCAAACTATTAAAAACCAATTGACACCAGGAGTAACCAAGGCTAAAGAGATTTTGCTAATAGAATCTAAAAGAGTAATTTGGCTAGAGCATGACATACAAATCATGATTGATGAAATAGCAATTGATAGAAAAAGAATAAAGAAACTAAATGTATGGGCACTATGTTCTTGAAAATGAAGAAGAAAAAAAAGATAAGGTTGTCTAGGGCTTTCTGATATCAGCATTAAAAAGGTCTGTTGGAAGGTCTGCAAAAAAAAAAAAAAAAAAAAAATCTAAAAAAGAGTCCTTAGAAAAAGAAGATATAACTTATAGCTCAGAAAATGATGTCACTGGTTTTTAAAGCTCAGAATGCAATGACTCTGTTAGAAGTGAATTAAATTGTATTGTCACAAAGAAGAACAAAGTATAATACTGCTTAAAAATATTTTAAAGTGTACAGCGCTAACTGTTGTAAAAGGAGGACTTTCTGTCATATTCAGCGTTATGTCTATCTCAGGTATAATAATAGGGAAGGGCTGAGCCACCTTACTTCTTATTCTTAACTAAGTTAAGTACCTAAACTTATTTAACACTTTTTTATTTTAGCCATTGTAATATAGAAAAAAAAAGTATAAAAAACAACAATATTTGATTAACTAAATTCAATGATATGTAAGGGTAGCACACATAAGGTCAAAAACATCAAAAAAAGTAAAAAAAAAGAAGTAGTTTGACACTCTTAAACTAACTTTAAAAGGAAAATTTTATATGCATACTGTTTAAAGAGTTTTAAAAGCAAAAATGAAAGAATGTCTAATTTTTAATAAAGTTTGCTTTTTCAATCAATACAAACTCCCTCAACTTGAACACACTTATTCCAAAGATCCTCCAATAACTTAAAAACAACTCTGTACTGTTTCTTTAACTTATAAAACAACTCTGCACTGTTAAAAAAATATTGTTTTACAACTGCAAATGCTTCTTCATTAGATAAAAAACGCTTACCATTAGGAATTGTTTTAAGTTTCTGAAGGGGTTACAGTCGAAAAAAACCAAATTTGGGGAATAAGGTGGGTGTTCAAACATTTCATACTTTAATTTATTCAATTTAAAAATCATAAAAAACTTGTGTGAATGCATGCGTTTTCTTGGTGAATAATGTTAATTTTTTTCTGGAAGTCTTTTATCTTTTGTAAACAATCCTGGTTCAGTTTATGATCATGATGGTACTACCAAGTCTTATCCATAGTTTCTTATTCATATAAAAAATACACATAATTGATTTTATTTGGCTTTAAAAGCCTTATATTTGTATTTGTTTTGGTTCAATTTTTTATGAATTTTTAATGAAAGCAGCGCAACATTCAGATCAGCTTTTTCATATGTATTTTCTATGTTTAAATAGAAGATGAAATATTTTAATTTGGATTCCTCTAATAGTTAAAAAGGGCCGCTTTTAAAACTGCTCAACCAGCCTGTATAAAATTTTTGTTACAAATAGTGTGATTTTGTTAAATTAATTCTAATTGTTAGAAGTCAAGTATTGGTATTTTTTTTATTTATTAAACATTTTTAAACTTGTAAAAAAGTTTATTTATAAAAAATAGATATTAATATGGGTTAAATATAATTTACATGTTAGTTAGGGATTTAAATTAAATGTTTTTGTTATAAATCAAGTCAGTATAAACTATATATTTTTTTGTAATAATTTTTTTATTACTGATAATGTTATATCGTCGCTGCAAAAACAAAACTATCTTAAGTCCATTTTTTGGCAAAATTGACTTTTTTGGTTTAAAATAATCCTAAGGTGCACAAAAGTTATCTCACAAAGTATGGAACCAAAAATGATTCAACTTTTGCAACTATGAGTAAAACTCAAATACCTTATGTCTTAAAAAAAATAATTAAGAGACATCGTTGCTGTACAACAAAACTATTTTAAGTCCATTTTTTGGCAAGAAAAATAACTTTTTTGGTTTAAAATACTTAACACATAAAATAAATAACTAAAAACAAGTAGATTTAAAAATAGTAGTATTTATAAAAAAATCAGAAGCAGTAATTAAATTTAAAACTTTAAATGTGATTAAATTTAAAACTTAAAATTTTCTAAGAACAGCAAAACGGACTTACGATTGTCTCGTTTTGCAACAGCAATATAATTTGTAAAATTTTGACATATTTTATATAGTTTTGAGATCATCTTAAGTCCATTTGCTTCTTATAAACTTGTTGCTTCTTATAAACTAAAAATTTTATTTTTTATTTGTTATTTTGTAAAAAATAATAACATATTTTATTTTTAAGTATTTTAAAAATAATTTAGTTTATTGGAGAAGATCAAACACAGTGATGAATTAAAAACTTTAAACGCGCTTTTCTCACAGCAGCAAAAGTTGACTTAAGATAGTCTTGCTTTGCATCAACGATATATAGTTGTTTATAAAATGATACAAGAGATTTGTATTAGATCATTAATATAATTTATTTCACTTATTATGCATAAAAATGATCTTTTTTGGAATGAACTCATTCTTTATAGCATTAAAATTGGCTATCATTTATATTATTTCAATTGATTACATTTACGTTTTTATCAGGAAAGATATATACAGAAATGTACATAGACTATTACAGTAATAAGAACAAAAATCTTATTTTCAATTAAATATTTAATAAATAATGAGTCATTAGTGTTAAATTAAAGAATTATATGTTTTTTTATAATTATTTGTTTGCTTATATTATAAAAAAACAAATAATTATAACTGTTTATATTATAAATTATAGTTGTCCAATATAAAAAGAACAAAGAACAAAAGAATAATAAAAGAAGG